GAATTTCTCCTTACAATATCAATACAATATCAACCACACAGGTGACGAGAATAGAGAAGAATATCAATTATGGGATTTTTAGTTGATCCAATACCAAATTCTCTGAACTAACATCATAAGATCGTATGGCAGATAGTAAGGAGAATTACTAATTAGATCTTGGGAGTCAAAGGGTTAACGTAATAGTGGTATGGAATGATGTAGCACTCTTAAATGTTGTGTTGTTATTTAACTAACCTGTAAATTAAGGTGTACTTGATACGTTTATTTTTTCGCATGCATTAGCGGCAGTTATTCTAAACTTGTCTGTATATGTGTATTTTACTATCTTCAGCAGATTCACCCAAGACCTCCTTCTTGGCCAAATTGAAAGGCAAGAAAAACTAAATTTAACTTTAAAAGAAAAGCCTTGGAAGTTTGCAGGGAAAAGCTGCACTATTCGTAAATTGGTAGATCCTGTATTGCGTCAAAGTAGCGCGGATGGTTTTGTTAAATGTTTTATATATTTTCATACTTTTACTCCACTTAACTTCGAGGTAGATCAAGGCCTTATGGTCCAGAAGTCTGTGTACAAATTTTACAGCCACAATAGGGTTTTAAAAAGGAATGAAGACTTGTAGCGGGTGTCAGTATTAATGATGTTACCTCAATTAGAAAGATTCCCACTAAGTAGCAGTATTTGAAGAGAGAGAAAAGTCGAGGGAAGGGTGATTTGAGTTTTGCGCAACTGGCTTACAAAGCCTTATTCAGACCCACCCAAGTCTTGTTAGAGTAAGACGAAAATCTAGGAGATGACAGCATATCATCTTGCACTAAGTATGTCACAAATACCTAACTTACAATTTAAACTTGAGTCTTAAAGTTTGTTTGTTCTTAGTTAGGAGTAACGTCCCTCGTCACATTGTCAAGCAACTCTTGCGTAACTATTGCGTTTTTTTAGGGCGATCTACACTTAGTGAGTTTGTCGTGAGACAACAGAACAAAATTTATATTATCAACAAAAAAACAATTATGCCGTTTCATCGCTATTTCTGATTGCAGTTTTAGTGTAAACAATCATTGTAGAAAAGTCGTACTTTTATGTATTAAATGATATAATAATTAAAGAACCACGAAGTGTAATTTTAACTAACCTTTTGATTGAATAAAAATGACCTCTCATAGAGAAGAAAAATTAAATGTCATACCTATTTTATTGGACCACTACCCGGAACGTCTCGTTAGTCAAGGAACTCTCTCGTACCCCCACCCTATCCTTCGCGACATTTTTCTTGCGCTTTGTACGTAAGATATGTGACATCAAGTCGAAAGAAGGTCGGAAAATTCTGTGGGGGATCACATGTTTTTTTTTTAAGTTGAACAGTCGGCGCTAATAGAGTATAAGGGAGGGACTATGGAAGATTGACAGCCAAAGAGGGCGGATTATTAGGAAGAGCACTGGGGAGGGGAGGGGTAATCAGGCGATAAATAATGACCCTTCCCTTACACAAAGTATTCATTTAAGCCGGGCGACTCTTAAGAAGAAAATAATCAATCGTTTTATAACTCTCAATTAGTTTATACTTAGCCCTCTTCTCCGATAAGCCCCGTATGGAAGTCCAACCACCTCCGGGTGCTTCTGACAGCGTTTCTGGTCATTGTGTTGATCCAGTCACGGTCCGAAACAAAAGGGCTGCTAATTTCCCTTGTGAATTTCTAGTTTGGTTTTTTCAAATTTACAGTGAAAACGGCGTCGAGAAATGCAAGCCCAACCGCGGCCGGTGCCAATTTCAGTCTCTGAGTGACTGGCATCTACTTTTTCCTTATAATATTACTCCTGAATCATACACGAGGAAAAGGAAATGATAAGCAACTAAAGAAGCCCTTGATTGGGAAACAAATTCTCCTCGTCAGCACCTCAGGACATGTATGGAGAACAGTATGGAGAATTGTCAAACTGACAGGGTGTAAAGGGTTGATAGGAAGATTCTTGGGAACGAAGTGAGAAACGGAAGGGTGGAGTAACTTCTTTTCACAAGTTTATTTAAATTACGAGGGAGACTTAAAGGATGATAATATGATCGAAATGAATAAAAAAAAATAAAATAAAATAAAAAAAAAGAAAAAAAAAGCAAATACCTACCTTAATCCTGTCGAAAGTGATAAAATACAGCTGTCTTTTCGTGTGGAAGGTTGTACATCGACACGGATGGAGATTGAAGCACGGTAGAATCCGGTAAACTGAAATACTAAGGGAAACGTCAAAGGCAGTTCGAGTTGCCTGATCACACATGGATGAAAAACAATAAAAAAATGTTCATCCTGGAAAGTTTTATTTAAAGTTAGAGTCAGTATCTTGAAAATTTCGACCATTTTATGCATATATACATCGCTACTGGTCCAATTTCTACATAAAATTGAGCGGGAAAGTGACGGAAGAGTTTTTGGAACATTTTTGGCTCGGCTAAAAAAGTGAGAAAACTCATTTGAATTACAAATAATTTTCAAAACATTAGCATTCACATTTGCGTTTAGTCTTGCACGTGGAAAGAGCAGAACTACGAGAAACCTGAACGTCTTTTTCAGCTTTTTTAGGGCCAGGAAACGCAACATTTCAACCATGTTCGGTTGGATATCGTCCATTTTGTCAATGTTAGCAGCTGTTTCTTCGAATGTGGGATTACAGTGGTTTAAATTTGACGTCGCAGATTTTTGTTTCAAGGTTACTCAAGGTAAATAACCTAGTATAGATACATATTTGATAGAAATACACGGTGTTCCTATCTGTTGCTTTTGCCCTTAAGACCAAATTACAGAGTTATATTTGAAGTGAAGAGTAATAAACTATGTACGTACCGTTCAGTGTCAGACAAGTTCTTAAGGGCATCTTTCAGGACACTTCTTAATGAACCGCGTGACATTTAGGGCAACAGCGAGAGAATCGTATTTTATTGTTAGTGTGTTGAAAGCCTGATTGTTTATTTCTTTAATTTTGTACCCATGTATGAGCTGTATACAGTTATTTTAGCTTCAAACATTTCAACCTTCCTTTAGTCTTGAGCGCGCGCTTCAAATGTCTCTAACGTCGATGACTGCGTAAGATTCTACGCCAAAAGTTTTAACGAAAGATCTTTTGAATGGATACCAGAGGCTTTAATTTCTTGTCATGATCATGTTTCATTTTCCATTTTTCATCTATGTACTACTGTATACAGTCATTTTCACACATCATTAATCTTGAGCGCTCTTGTTATTTCTCTACCATGACTGCGCAAGATTCTGTGCCAAAACGTTGTGACGTAGGATCTTTCGGGGGGGGGAATCCAGGACTTTTTTAGGAAGAGATGCACCAGTAAGAAATGACGTACCTGACGGGTGACGTAAACAAATTTTAAAAGGAAGCATGGAAAAACAAGGCCTATGACTTGGCAGTAACAAAAT